TGGTACAGTGCCCAGGTGGTGACCGGAGTTGCAGGGTTGTGCTGGGTGGGGTGGTGGTGACCGTGGTACAGTGCCCAGGTGGTGACCGGAGTTGCGGCGTCGTGTTGGGTGGGGTGGTGGTGACCGTGGTACACTGCCCAGGTGGTGACCGGAGTTGCGCAGCATCATGCTCGGTGGGGTGGTGGTGACCATGGGTAGAGGGCCCAGGCCGTGATGGGAATTGCAGCGTCGTGCTCGGTGGGGTGGTGGTGACCGTGGTACAGTGCCCAGGCTGTGATGGGAGCTGCAGGATCGTGCTGGGTGTGCTTGTCTTGCAGACTGGTGAGGGTGTGAACGATGTGCGGAAGGGGGCGTGCGCCAATCACGTCAGCACCATGGCCAGCTTCCTGAAGGTGAACTGCGGGCAGAAGTGACGGGACCCCAGCTGGCCCACGTGGACAAGGAAGAGGGGCATTCCTTGGCCCTTGTGATTGCAGGGAGGCCCATGTCTCTGGTTACTCGGGAGCCCCTGAGCAGTGCCCATCACCTTAGCAAACCTGCCCTCTTCTGTGCTCCTTTCTAGCCCATCTCAACCTGTGCTTTTCAATCAGTGTAATCATATTTTAATTCTCTTTTAGTTTAAAAACCATTTGTATCCAAAGCCTTTGTGGTTTACCCGTCAGGTGAATGTCTGCTATTCTTGGTCACTAGGGAGGATGCTCTGCCCTTGGGTCTCTGGTCCTGCCGGCCCGTTTCAGGTTGGGCCAGCTTCTTAGTCTAGGAACTGGAGGAGATGTCAGGGCGAGCAGGGTCATCACACGCTGACTTTTATAGAAAGTATGCTTGTTCCCAGAGGCCACTGAAAGTAATGTTGTGTGGGCCGATGGCCTCAGGGCATTGCATCCCAGTACCAGAGGGGAGGACGAGGTATTGCTTATGAGGAGCAGTGAGGCATTTCCTTGTCGGGATGACTGAGCTCAAGAGAGCCAGCTCCTCATTCCTGGGAGTTAGACAGGCAGGTCATGTGCAGGTGGGGAGCAGGGAAGGTGCACTGCTGCCCTGCCACACATTGCGCCCACCCACCCTCAGGGAGCCCACGTGACCATCAATGCCCGGGCTGAGGAGGATGTGGAGCCCGAGTCCATTATGCAGAAGGTAGCCAAGGCTTCGGGGGCAAACTACAACTTTCACAAGGAGAGCAGCCGCTTCCAGGATGCAGGACCCCAAGCCCCTGTGGTGAGTGACAGCTGGGGCAGGTGCTCAGACCAGGGCAATCTCCTGGTTGAAGGCTGTGGAGGGTGGCTTGGACTCTCTCTATGGGAACAGATGCCAGGACAGTGGTCCCCGAGCACCCCCCAGGAGTTGTGGTGGCTGAACTTGAGGTGGTCAGGACACAGCCTGAAGCAGTTGCCACAGGTTTCTCACCCTGGAGCTGAGCTCCCCTCCTCTTCCATGGGTGTGTCTCGTCCTCCCCATGAGGACTGTTGGTGGCTCTGGGAGCCTCCCTGCGAGGGCAGGTGTCGGGCCTCTGCCACCTGTCTCAGTGTCACCTTCCTTAATGCACCCCCCAGGCCTAATCCCACAGCCTTCACCACAGCCTTGGGGTCTGTGTGCGCAGCCGCTGCGTGGGTCTGCGTTTCTAACAGGCTGCTATGCCCCTGCAGGGCTCTGTGTACCAAAAGACCAACGCCATGTCCGAGATCAAAAGGGTCGGCAAAGACAGCTTCTGGGCCAAAGCAGAGGTGAGCCCACCGGGGTCTGGTATAAGAGCCAGTGATTGCCGGTCATATGCTGTGCTCCAGGCGCGGGGGGTGGGTGCTTGTCTCCCCGTATTGCACATTTTCTCACTAAATACAGTGAGCCCATGAAGCGGGTGTGTGTCCCGGGTTTGCAGGAGTTTAAACACAGCCAGTAACGCATGTCCTGGAGCCATCCCAAGTCACCCCACAGCAGCCACGTGGTCCTGTACTGAGTGTGGGGGAGGGCACAGGTGGCATGGCAGGCGGCATGGCCCTGCTGAGCTGGGTGTGGGCTCCGCGGTTCCCCACAGAAGGACGAGGAGAACCGCAAGCTGGAGGACAAGCAGCGGGCAGAGGAGGAACGCCGGCGGCTGGAGCAGGAGCGTCAGGACCGGGAGCGGCGTGAGGCTGCCCGCCGTGAGCAGCGCTACCAGGAGCAGGAGCGGGAATCCAGCTCCCAGAGGTGAGCCTGCCCACCCCCACCAGCCTGCCACAGTGTGGGCCCTCGCCCCCCCGCCCCGAGTGTCCTTCCTGACTAAATACCTTTCCGCCCTGCCCCGCAGGAAGCCTGAAGAGCAGCAGGAAGTCATTTCAGGGGCACGACTGTCCCAGGTGAGCCCTGGGGAGATGTGGATGCCCAAAGCCTGGTCCTGAGGTAGCCGAGGGGGCCCGCAGTGTTGATGACAGCCTCAGTCTTTCCTGTCCGGCTGAGTAGTCCCAGGAGGCAGGGAGTTTAGGACCCTGGAACTGGCTTGGGCAGATTTGAACTTGAGACCCATCTAGGGGGTCAGAGAGGTGACAGTGCTCTGGGCATGACCAGCTGGACCCTGGAAGCATTCTCAGGGAGCCAGGCAGGCAGACGGGCTTGGAGTGCTTCCCTGGCCCTGACCACTGCCTGGTCAGTGTCCTTTCCTCACCAGGCCTCCGCCTGTCAGCAGCCCATGCACCCACGGGACATCTTCAGACAGAAGGAGAGGGCCATGTCCACCACCTCCATCCCCAGCCCCCAGCCAGGTGAGACCGCTGAGCCTCACCTCTAGATGTGGGACAAGGCAGGGGCATGACACTGCCAGCCCTTCTCATCACCTGGCATTCCCCAATGTGGGCCCACACTCAACCCAACTATCCCACGTCAGCGAGAAGGCCAAGAAAGAGCCTGTGGTCGGGGCTGGTCTAGAAGGAAAGGCTGGGCCCAGGCATCCCCGAAGACCAGGAGAGATTGCATACTGTCCCGTCCAGGCCTTGTTTTCTAGAGACCTGGGGGTATGTGAGGTTCCCAGGGTGCAGACGTGCCAGCCTCGGCACCCCTCACCAAGTGGGTGGGTCAGCTGGTTCCCAGGGCCTGTTATCAGTTACCACTGGGACCCCAGAAAACCCAGGACTACTTCTGCCAGCCAGCAGAATACACTGCCCCTGGTCAGCACCCCCTCTGGCCCCCCAGCTGTATCTCTTCTCCCTACCCTGAGTCTCTACTCCCTGAGTCTTTGAGAGCTCAACAGACAGGTGGGTGCTATAGGTTCTCTGGGTTAGCCAGGGTTGGGTGGACCTTTGGGGCCTGCTTCTGGCATTCTGTGTATCTACACAGCGTTGCCCCAGAGCCACTCCATGTCCTAGGACTGCCTGGCACGTTCAGTTGGCTTTGTGGCAAGTTGGCCTTTGGGCCATCAGGGTTAGAAACGGGCAGTTTCTCCTCGTCCCCCTTGCTGAGCTGTCCGGTGGCGTGTGCTGTCTCCCTGTCCATTTGCAGGCAAACTGAGGAGCCCTTTCCTGCAGAAGCAGCTCACCCAACCAGAGATCACCCCCATCATCAGGGAACCCAGTCCTGCCTCGAGCCACAAGACAGGCAAGTCCTTGGCATTCTGGGGACCTTTGAGGTGATGGAGGGTGCCTCTTCTGAACACTTCCACTGGGGGAGGGGGCATGGGCAGAGTCTGAGCAGGCTCCTCCTCTGGTCCAGATCTCCTCAGGGACCCGGGGCCCACTGTCCTTGAGTCTGCAGTGCCGGTGGAGGAGGAGGCTGTCTACCAGGAGCCCCCGGAGCAGGAGAACCTCTACGAGGAGCCCCCACTGGTGGGTCCCTGGTGGAGGCGGGAGGGGCCTTGACTTTCCAGCAGGGCTGTGTAGTCCCTCGTTTGCTCCTGAACAGGCCTGCATTGTTTAGGAGGCTAGCATATGCGGTCCTCGCATGCTCTGCTTGGGCTCATGGACTCTGGGGTGGCCTTCATGGCTGTGGCTGCAGAGCCCACAGCTGCTCTGAAACCACAGTGCTGCCCCTGCTCTGGTGTTTTGCCTGCCCCTCAGCGGAGCCCCGGCTGCATCAGGAGGGGTGGGCTCAGGGGAATGATCCTGCTCATCTCTGCCCTTGTGTGACAGGTACAGCAAGAAGAAGCTTGCTCTGAGTTCAGCCACTATGAGCAGGACGCAGGACTGCCTGGGAAGGGGCTTTGTGCCCGGGCCCTGTACGACTACCAGGCAGGTATGGTGCCAGTACCTACCTGATGAGACCACAGGGGACACCCTTAGGTTGGGGGCATGGTGCTTGAGGAGGAGGGCTGAAGGGGGCCGGCTCCAGTCAGCTCCCCCACTGGTGCTCCGAGAGAGCTTCCATTCACCCTGTGGCCCAGACCCCCACAGGCTCTCCACTGGGGCTTGCTGTCCTCGGACCTGAGCCCCAGTGTCTATCCGGTTGGAGAGCCTGGTGTTGGCTAGAGAAGTCGACTAGATCTGGAGGCTGCTTTCCCAGGCAGTGCCAGAGCAGGCCTCAGAAGGAGACTGGGATGGGAGGACTGTGCTCCAGCCCTGGTGTGGGTCCTGAGAGACGTTTTCTAAGAGTCTTGGCAGAGGGAGAGCAGGGTGCAGAGACGAGCCGTTCTGCCTGCCGTTTCCTTGCAGCGGATGACACAGAGATCTCCTTCGACCCTGAAAACCTCATTACTGGCATCGAGGTGATTGATGAGGGCTGGTGGCGTGGCTATGGGCCAGATGGCCACTTCGGTATGTTTCCTGCCAACTACGTGGAGCTCATTGAATGAGGATAGTCGTGCGTGAAGCCCCTGCCCCCTCCCACAGCAGGACACAGCCTCCTCTGCTGGAGAAGTGGCACAAACGCTGGGTGTCACTCTTCAGCAGTCAGACCCCCCATTCAGCAATAACCTGGTGACTTCTGCCTGAGGAGAGCGTGTGGGGAGACACTGGAGGCTGTCCCCACAGCCCAGGTGGCTGCCTGCCTTTTCTAGGCGGGAACCTTGTTAGGGGCACCGCCCTTTCTCCTCCTCCTCCTCCTAAGCTTGGTGGCTGCAGGTGTCAGGAGTGGCCCTGGGTGCAGTGGGCGTTGAGAACTGCTGAGCAGTGTTTGCAGCCACAGTCAGACTGGATTCTGGCAGCTTTGGAGAGCGAGGTCAGCGGCTCTCAGCTTGGGGAGCGTGGGAGGGGCAGGCGAAGGGAAGCCTGCAGATGTCACAGCTGGCACAGCTCCAGTGGTGGGGACCGGCTCTCGTCTGTTGACCATGTTCACTTCTCAAACCAACCCCAGCTGCTTCCTCACACTTCTTGTTTTACGGAAAAGTTAACAAGAAAACAGCTCATGCCTACTACCGGCTCCTATTTGTTGGTGGTTCCTTCAAGTTGGTTCCCACACAGAGCGACCCCTCTGCACAACAGAGAAACCCACCCGGTCCTGTGTCATCTTCATAGTTGTTAACATTGTCTCCTATTTTCTGTCTCTGGACAGTGGACCTGCTATGGGACTAAGGATAGTGGAGTCCACACAGTGTAGGCCCACTGGGGACACACCCCTCTGCCTCAGGTGATAGTGTGCTCAGGGGCACACTCACCCCTAGGATGGCTTGTGCTCTCCAAGGTCCTGACCCCTGTGCATACAGGCCCCCAGTTAGCTACCATGCCCAGTTGTGTACTATGAGGAGGTCAGGACCCAACCTCTGAATCTGGGGCAGTGTCAGCTCTGGAGCTGGCTGACCCCCAAATGTGTCTGAACTTGCCCATGTCTACCCAGCCTCACCTGGGGGGTAGGGGTGGCCAGGGTCCACAGCACATCCAGAGCACGTGGTCTTGGCTGACCTCAAGTGAGCCCGCTCCAGTTGTAGAGTTTTAGGGATCCGTGTGGGTGATGTTCGAAGTGTAGATTCCTGCAGTGCCCTGACCAAGGGGCTCACTGTGCCCTGACTTGTGGGCTCCTGCCTGTGGGGTCGTCGGGTGCACAGCAGGCAGCCAGACCCAGAGCCAAGCGTAAGGGGGACCACTTTATTGCCCAAAGCCCACCCCTCACTTGGCCTTGCCCTGAGCTGCCACCGCTTCCATGGCCTTCCGGACGGTCTCCTCGTCGCCCAGGAACTGCATGGGCTTGGTAGGCTTCAGCGCCTTGTCCAGCTCGTACACGATGGGGATCCCCGTGGGTAGGTTCAGCTCCATGATGGCCTGGTCAGACATTCCTGGGGCAGGACAGGCAGCCTTAGCACACAGCCTCAGTTCCCTAACCCTGCGGCCCCACTGCTTGTCTCAACAAGAGGCCCTGTGACCTTTACGGCAACAGTCAGTCTGACATTACCACTCCCCGCCCGCCCCCACTGAGCAGGGCCACAGGAATGTGCTCAAGAAGGTCAAACTTGAGAACCAGAGCTCAGAGCAGCTCACAGAAATAGCTCTGCCACCAGTTGGGCTGTGGTCTGTGGGTGCCACCACACGGGGGCTGGGGTTTAGGTTCAGGAGGGGCAGCAGCCAGCATGTTTCTAGGCATCTTGAGTGGTGGAGTAGCCAACCCCCACTTCGCCAGGGCCAGGAGGACGCTGGTGGTAGGAGCTGCGGGCCCCAGCTGGACCTCTCTCCACTCACCCTGAAGCCCATGAGTAGCCCTCTCTGGCTTGGGCTTTGTTAGGCTCTGGAGGGGAGGGGACAGGAGGTGGTCATTTCCCACTCCTGGGGCCAGCCAAGGCTTTCCTAGGCAGATGCCCCACACTGCCTTAGATGTGGCCTGTCCCTTAGCACGAGTGTAACAAGCTGGACAGTGATTAAGATGCTAATTCAAAGGAGATTGGCATCTGCTTGCGTCTCCTAGGGCACCTCTTCCCTACCATGCTGTAACTCCGTCCATCTGTTTGTCTGTGTCAGGGTGAGCCTGAGCGATGCCAGCACTGGGGCCCTCCTGGAACCAGGGACACCAGGGCAGCAGCGCCCCACGCTGTTTCTGCCTTCTATAGGTTTAGGTGGGGGTTACCCAGAAGCAGGCACTGCATGGACTAGGAGGAAGGGGCCCTGAGTGCATGGCCTGTGTGGGATCACAGCAGACCTGGATTGGGAGCGGAGTGACTTCAGTCCGGCCTGGCCTTTACTGACTAGGTGTCCAGCTGCCCTTTGAGCCATCCCACTCCACCTATTTGTAAACCGAATTGGGCACAGGTCCAGGGTATCCCCAGCCTTCAGTGGTTTGCAATCTTTTTTAAAAACCATCTTCAGAAAGAAAATCTGTCCTGTGACATAAACAGACCTTGGTTTTTCTAATTTCTCAGCCCTCCAGTGGGCTGGGACCTCTGGAAGCTCTACCTTTCACCCAAGCTACCACCCTGCCTGAACCTCAGGGCTAGGGACCGGTAGGCCTCACCTTCTAGGTGTTTGACGATACCCCGAAGGCTGTTGCCATGCGCAGCAATAATCACCCGCTTGCCAGCCTTAATCTGGGGGGCAATCTCCTGGTTCCAGAAGGGCAAGGCCCTGGCGATGGTGTCCTTAAGGCTTTCACAGGTGGGTAGCTCTTCGGGTTTCAGGCCTGCGTACCGACGTTCCTGGGGGCAGCAAAGTTGTTGCTAGCACCTCGGGCAGCCCTCTTCCTCCCACTCTTGTCCCCAGCCTGTGCAACCCACCTTGCTGATGATGGTGTAGTAGGGGTGCTTCTCATCCATGGGGGGAGGTGGGATGTCGAAAGAGCGCCTCCAGATCTTCACCTGCTCCTCCCCGTGCTTGGCGGCAGTCTCGGCCTTGTTGAGGCCTGTGAGGCCCCCATAGTGCCGCTCGTTGAGGCGCCAGCTGCGAATCACGGGCAGCCACATCTGGTCGGTGCCGTCTAGGATGGTCCAGAGTGTGCGGATGGCCCGCTTCAGCACCGATGTGTAGCAGATGTCAAACTCTATCTTGGCGTCCTTGATAGCCTGGGCCCCTCGCTTGGCCTCTTCAACCCCCTTCTCACTCAGCTCTGCATCAAACCAGCCACAGAATCGGTTCTCCTGATTCCATGCGCTCTCACCGTGACGAACGATGACCAGGCGGTGGGTGGACATGGCGGCAGTGGGTTTAGTGCCCCAGATGGAAAGACAGGGCTGCCAGGGCAGCAGTGGCTCTGGGATCCAGCGTCTCCAACTTTATAACAGCCTGTCCCCAGTCCCCTCCCCCCACAACTGCCAGCATTCCAGGACAGGCAGCAGCAGGTGGCCAGTGATAGGGTTGCAGGGGGGCTGAGAGGGATCCAGGCCGAAAATAGATCCTCCAGCCACCCCCTCACCCCACCCCAGTCTGGTTGTTAGGTACCATCCAGTCAGTTCCAAGTCACAAGGACCCTATGCACAATGCAAGACAGCGTACAGTCCCACACCAGCCTCTCAATGGTCTGTTCCAGCCTGTTGCTGCTGTCACTGTGCTGTGTATCTCATTGGAGGGAGGAGGCTCTTTCCACCCCTCTCACCCCTAACCTGACCCAACACTATACCAAGCATAATGTCCTCCAGGGACCGGTCCCACCTGAAAGTTGCCATCCTGGCTTCTAAGGAGCATTCTGGCTTTACTTTCGAGATTTGTTTGTTCGAGAAGTCCATGGCACTTAGCAGTATTATTCTCCAACACCATAACTCAAATCATCAATTCTGCCTTCCTTATTCGTTGTCCAACTTCCAGATGCGTATGACACTATTGAAAATACCAGGGTTTCAGTTGGGCACATCATTTACTCTTCCCTTTAGAGAGGTCTTGGGCAGCAGCTTTGTCTAATGCCATACATCTTTTGATTTCTTGACCGCTGTTTCCATTACTGTTGATTGTGGATCCAAGCAAAGTGATGTTTCTCACAACTTCAAACTTTTTTTCTCCATTTATCATGTTCCTTATTGGTCCAGTTGTGAGGATTTTGTTTTTGTTTTATTGAGATGCTAGCTATACTGAAGGCGCTAGTCTTAGTTCTTCATCAGTAAGTATTAAATCCTCATTGCTTCCAGCACGCATATGGCAGGTTGTTAACGAGTCTTCCTCCAATCTTGATGCCACATTTTAATATAGTTTAAATAATTCCAGCTTCTTGGATTATTTTCTCAGCATACAGATTGAATAGATAGAAAAGAATACAGCCCTGGTACACACCTTTCCAGTATCCCCTTGTTCCAACAACTGCCTCTTGGTCTATGTACAAGTTCTTCACGAGCATAGCTAAGTGTCCTGGAACACCCATTCTTTGCAGTGTTGTCCATAGCTTGTCGTGATCCACACAATTGGAAGCTTTTGCATCGTCAATAAAGTACAAGTAAATATTTTTCTGGTATTCTTTGCTTTCAGCCAAGATCCATCTGAACTCAGCAGTGATATCCCTAGTTCCACACTACAACCTCTTCTGATTCTGGCTTAAGTTTCTGGCAGTACCTTGTTGATATACAGTTGTAACTATTTTTGGATTGTCCTCAGCAAAAGTTTACTTCAATATAATAGAACTATTGTTCAATCATTTCTGCATTACATTAGGTTGCCTCTTTGGAATGGGCACAAATAAGGATCTCTTCCAATTAGTTGGCTAGGTAGCTGTCTTCCAAATGTCTTGACATAGATGAGTTAGTCCCTCCAGTGCTGCATCAGTTTGTTGGAAGGTTTCAATTTGTATTCTGTCAGTTCCTGGAGCCGTGTTTTTGCCAGAATCTTCTTTGCAGCTTGGAGTCCCCCTTCCATACAATTGGTCCTTAATTATGTGCTACCTCTTGAAATAGATGCGTTCTTTTTGGTACAGTGACTCTATACCTTCCATCTTTTCAAGTTTACAGTATTTTGCCCATAGAATCCTTCAGTATTGCAAGTCAAGGGTTGAATTTTTTCTTCAGTTCTTTCAGGTAAGAAATGCTGAATGTGTTCTTTTTTGATTTTCTAACTCAAGGTCTTTGTTTCATTATACTACTTCACTTTGTCTCTGAGCTGCCCTTTGAGGTTTTCTGTTCAGCTCTTTTACGTTCTCATGTCTTCCATTTGCGTTAGAGTCTTTATGTTAGAGAACAAATTTCATAGCCTATTCTGACATCCATTTTGATCTTTTTTAGAGAATGCTTTATTTCTGTAACCAAACTCATGTAGATAAGACCTTATTTCCTGTCTTTTTAATAACCTTTCCCTCCTGTATAATGTTCCTGATGTCATCCCACAGCTCTTCTGGTTTTCAGTAATTAATGCCTAATGCATCCAATCTGGTCTTCCAATGACACCTAAATTCAGGTGGGATAATGCTCACGTTTTGGTTCTCATACATTTGTTTTAATTTTCTTCAGCTTCAGTCTGTATTTGCATATGATTAATTGGTCTGTTCCACAATCTGCCCTTGGTCTTGTTTTGGCTGATGATGTCGAGCTTTTCCACCATTCCCACAGATGTAGCGGTCAGTTTGATTATGCATTCCATCTGCTGAGGTCCATCTGTATTGCCACATTTTAAGTTGTTTAAAAAGGTATCTGCAATGAAGAAGTCGTTCATCTTGCAAAATTCTATCAAGCATTCTCCAGCATCATTTCGGTCACCAAATTCATATATTCCAACCATTGATCCCTCTTTATTCCCAACCTTCTCATTCCAACCACCAGTCATTATCCAAACATATTGATTGCATGTTTGATTCATTTCAGACTGAAAAAGTTGATAGGAGTCTTCAATTTCATATCACTGGCTCTAGTGATTGGTGTGTGGGTAGTAAGAGTAACAGTGGTATTAGCTGGCCTTCCCTATAGGTGTATTGATATCCTCTCATAGTATACTTCAAGATTGCTGTTGTTAAGTGCTGAAGTGCCATCGGGTCAGTACCGACTCACAGCAATCCTTTGCACAACAGAACGAAACACTGCCCGATCCTGAGCCAAGCTCACAGTTGTTGACACGCTTGAGCCCATTGATGCTGCCACTTTGCCAATCCATCTCGTTGGGGATCTTCCTCTTTGTCTCTGAACGCTCCACCTTACCGAACATGATATCCTTCTCCAGTAACTCCTGACAATATGTCCAAAGTATGAGAGATAAAGTTTGGCCATCCTGGCCTCCAAGGAGCACTCTGGCTGCATTTCTTCCAAAACAGATCTGTTGGTTCTTTCGGCAGCCCATGGTACTTTCAATATTCTCCAACACCATAACTCAAATGCATCAATTCTTCTATGGTCTTCCCTATTCCCTGTCCAACTGCTGCATGCAGATGAGGTTATTTAAAATACCATGGCTTGGGTCAGGCGCACCTTAGTCTTCAAGCTGCTATCTTTGCTCTAAAACACTTTAAAAAGGTCTTGTGACTAATGCAATACATCGTTTGAGTTCTTGGCTCCTGCTTCCAAGAGTGTTGATTGTAGATCCAATAAAAATGAAGTCTTTGACAACTTCCATTGTTTCTCCATTGATAATGTTGTTTATTGACTACTCAAAGGCTTTCAATTGTGTGAATCATGACAAGCTATGGACAACATTGCAAAGCATGAGTATTCTGGAACACTTAATTGTGATTATAAGGAATCTACATGGACCAAGAGGAAGTTGTTCAAATAGAACAAGGGAGCACCAAATTGTTTAAGAAAGGTGTAAGACAGGGTTGTATTCTTTCACCATACTTATTCAATCTGTATGCTGAACACGTTATTTGAGAAGCTGGGTTGTATGAAGAAAAATGTGGCATCAGGATTGGAGGAAGACTCATTATCAACCTGCAATATGCAGATGATACAACGTTGCTTGCTGAAAGTGAAGAGGACTTAAAATTCTTACTGATGAAGATCAAAGACCATAGCTTTTGGTATGTATTGCATCTCAATGTAAAGAAAACAAAAATCCTCACCGCTAGACTAATAAATAACATTCTTATCCATGGAGAAAAGATGCAAGTTGTGAAAGACTTCATTTTGCTTGAATCAACCATCAACACTCATGGAAGCAGCAGTCAAGAAATCAAATGAGGTATTATTATTACATTAGGCAAATCTGCTGCACAAGACTTTTTTAAAGTGTTGAAGAGCAAAGATGTCAGCTTGAGGACTAAGGTGCGCCTGACCCAAGCCAACTTATATGCATGCAGAAGTTAGACAGTGAACAAGGATTGATTCTTTGAGTTATGGTGTTGGAGGAGAATATTGTAAGTACCATGGGCTGTGAAAAGAACCAATAGATCCGTTTTGGAAGAAGTGCAGCCAGATCTGTTTTGGAAAAAGTGCAGTCAGAGTGCTCCTTGGAGGCCAGTACGGCCAAATTTCGTCTCTCATGCTTCGGACATGTCAGGAGGGACCAGTCACTGGAGAAGGATATCATGTTTGGTAAGGTGGAGGGTCAGAGAAAAAAAAAGAACCCCAACGAGATGGGTTGGCAAAGTGGCAGCATCAATGGGCTCAAGCATGGCAACAATTGTGAGGTTGTCCCGGGATTGGGCAGTGTTTCCATTCTGTTGTGCATAGGGTCTCTATGAGTTGGTACCAACTAGGTGGCACCTAACAACAACAACTAGTTCTGACTTATTGAAACCCTGTATAGAGTTTCCAAGACTTTCTACTGTGGCACAGCTGGTAGATTTGCCACTGAACTGTGGCTGGTAACCCAATGCCTAGCCCACTGCACCTCCAGAATCCCTTTTGTGCTGGTTAGAGGAATTGTAATTAGGTTCACACAGACTCTACATCAGCCTTCTGAGTGCTTTGAGTTGAAGCACTAATACAGCATGTGTGTGGGTGCATATGTATTGTTGGAGGATACAGTCTGTGTGGGGCTGTGTGTGGGTGTTGTTGGAGGATACAGTCTGTGTGGGTGTGTGCGTGTGGGTTTTGGAGGATGCAGTCTGTGTAGGGGTGTGCGTGGGTGTTGGAGGATACAGTGTGTGTGGGGTGTGTGTGTGGGTTTTGGAGGATGCAGTCTGGGGGGTGTGTGTGCGCATGGGTGTTGGAGGATGCAGTATGTGTGTGTGGGTGTTTGAGGATACAGTATGTGTGGGGGGTGTTGGAGGATGCAGTCTGTCGGGGTGTGCGTGGGTGTTGGAGGATGCAGTCTGTTGGGGTGTGCGTGGGTGTTGGAGGATGCAGTCTG